CTCTAAAAAGGACCGGGGCATAGCCACTTTAGGCTTGGCTGGCTCAATGAAACCTCTCCTCCAGGTTTTTTTTGATAAATCCTTCCATTTCCTCCTTCTCCTTTGGGCTCATGGAGTATAATCTGGGCTTCGGGAGTTTTGCCCCAGGCTTGAATTCAATGGTACAGTCTGTGGGTCGGTGGGGGGGGGAGCTCATTTGCCCTCTCCTCACTGAAAACCTCAGCAAGGTCTCTATATTCCTCTGGTATTTCTGTTAATCATTTTTCCTCTCCTATGGATGATTTTTCTATTCTTGATTCTGGTAGCCTCCCTTGGGGTTTTAAGTCCATAGGGTCCCCCTTCGGGAATTTGATTTCTGTCGTCCTCCAATTTACCCAGGGGTTCCCTTTTTTCAACCATTCCATCCCTAGAATCATTGGGCATTCCATACCTGGGGTCACCACAAACGTTAAGTCCTCTTCATGGTTGCCCAGGGAGAGGTGTATTGGCAGAGTGGCTAGGGTAGCTGGCATCCCCCCTGCTATGGATCCATCTAGCTGGCCAAATGAGATGGGTTGTTCCAGTCTCCTGGATGGGATGCCCAGATTCCCCACTAGTGTTGGGCTAATAAGGCAGCGGGTGCAGCCAGAGTCTATAAGGCTTTTCACCTTCCACAGCTTCGGGCATGGGGGGGATTATATAGTCACTGGTTTTGAAGATGGGGTGTGATCATCCCTTACCAGTGGGTTCGCCCTCCGAGCTGTCATCTGAGCATCCCCGTCCCGGTGGTGTTAGGCTGGAGTTTCTTTCCCCTTGGTGAGCAAGTTGGGGTTCTGCAAATTTCCATCATTCTCATGGCCGTTTCGTTTGGCTTAGCTGAATACTTTCCGGGTTTGTTGATTGGGGATCTGTCTGGGTTGTGCTGGGGGCCCTTTGAGCGGCATTCTACAGCTCGATGCCCTTCTCTTCCGCACTTGAAACATCTCATTTGCTTCTTGGCTGTATCCGATGATTTCACCGGTTGGTGTGTCAGCTCAGGCGGGGGGCGGCTCCATTGTTTTCCTCGGCGGTGCCTCTTCAATATGTCGATCTCTTCTTCCTCTGCCAAGACGTACCATTCCTCAAGTCGATGTTGGTTCCCCTCGGGCAGGCAAGTCATCATATAGATCATAGTTTCGTACGTCTCTTGAAATGCCAAGGATGATGTCTTCTGGCCAATTCAGTTTGCGCAATGGCCCGGAATTCTTGTGTATACTCAGCCACTGGGCGTTTGCCCTGCCTCATCGTTGTTATTCTTTTCACGGGCTTTGCGATCGGCCAGGGGGTCTTCAAATCGTCTTCTCAAAGAGGACATGAAACGGTTGAAGTTACTGAGTTCTGGGGCATTGGAGTCATGCAAGTTCACTATCCAATCCGCAGCTGGTCCATCCAGGGCAGATTGCACGATCCGGATGCGGGCTTTGTCGCTGGGAATGTCCTGCCCATATTCCTCCATGTAGCTGAGGACTTGGGTTAGGAAAAACCCCAAGCGTGTTGGCTCCCCTTTGAATTTCACCTCCAACGGTGGACGTCTTGGAATGGATCGGTGCCTCCGTTGTGGGTGGTAGTGTCTTCCGTCCAGATTCCATCTGTGGTCCGGTAGGGGGTGGGAGCTCCTGGATCAGTAAATGTCCCTGGGGTTGCAGGTTCCACGTCCCACTCGGTGTCTCTCCCTTTGTGGCTCCAGGAACTGGGGCGGCCGTAGGGCTCAGGATTCTCCTCTCCTAGGGAGCTGAGAGTTCTCTTCATCAGGTCAATAGCTTTCTCTAGGATCCAGTCTGAGTATGGTGCCCAGCTTCCTCCCTCTTCACTTGCGTGCAGGGATTTCTCCATCTCCTGCTTCCATTCTGGTTGCTTGGTCCCCTGTCTCAGGGTCACCTTCCTTGATTCCTTTCCCCACTCACTTTTCTTTCCAACGCCCATCGACCAGCGAGGCTTGTGGTCCTGTGTCTCCACCACTTCTTCTCCTGAGGAATCTGGCCTCTCGGATTCCAACATCTGGCAAGGTTCCAACTGGGTCAGCGGCTCTCTTTCCAGGGAGTTTTCCCCCTCTCTTGCTTCGTTGTCTGACATGGTAAATTTTGCAAAATCCCCCGGCAAGGGTCTCCCTTCCAGGTGGATTAATTTTGCAAGTCCTGTCTAATGTAAGGACCCACCCCACTTTGCATCTTAAGAAGACAGAACTCTTGGAATAATTCTTCCAACAGGAATCCTTTATTAAGAGAAGTGGTTGCAGGCATGCTAGACAGGACTTGGGGTTCAAGCTCTCCCATTCAAGGTTTTAAGGGGTTCCCCAGTAGTCCCACCCAATCAAGCCCCCTTCCAGGGATAGTTTCAAGTATCACAATTCCACCCCCTTTCTTCTTTCTTCCGTCTAGATGGAGACTTCAGATAACTACATGAAAGGCAATTACCCTTTTTTGATATGTTAACGCTTAGAGGTCACAATAAACACACATTCAGCATTCAGCCCTTTGAAGTGTACTGAAGGAAGTGAGGGCCATAAAGCCCCTTTGCTCTCCCCCTTCTCTCCCTCTTATGGCAGAATCCAGAGAAGGCAGAATTGGGAGTTTCTATATTTGATAATTAAAGATGAAATATAATTGGATTCTGACAGGGTCTCTTATTTATAACTATTATAAAAAATTATTGGGAAGACTATCTTCTGGGTGTCCAAGACAATTGCCAGTCAAGAGGTATGATAAGGCATTATGCTGAGAAACAATCTGGACCAGTAGAAGATTCCTAAATTCTTGTGGTCTCTTTTTCTCCAGCTCATTGATAAAGGCCAGTCAAAGACCTAACGGCTTGTGCAATATGCGAAACTTAGTTAATGCTAACTTCACTTACATTTTTGTGAGTTGAAGGATTGGGTGAACCTACTGCAGCCCATTTGGTTGCTTTATGATTCCACCTCTCCAGGAACTGAGTGATTTCATCGACCAAGAAAAGTGTGTTCTGCAACTGCACCCCAAAGTTATCACAAGAAGGTGTCACACTGAATAAAAATAGACTGGAAGAAAAATGAACCAGAAGAGCTGTTGCTGAAAAGGAAGGGCTAAAATAAGGATGTAATTTTAGAAAGGAGGAAGAGGGGAATATTGTCTTCTCCTGATCCGATGTGGTGAATTCTGCCTTGTGGTGCCAAGCTCTGGCTTGGGTTTATCTGCCCGTATTCTACCTGCTGGCAAATCTTGCCTCGTGATCCTTGCCATCTATCTTGCCCACGTTCGCCGTCCTCAGAGAAGGGTTCTCAAAAGAACAATTGGTTGAGCTATCCTTTCAAGAAGATCAGATCAGACATACGACTGCCACAACTCTATCGGCTGACTTTATTATTTCCCAGACCATCTCCTGCAAGTATCTCCAGCTTAAATGAACCAAATTAAGAACCTTGGTTTTAAGAAAAATCCAGGTAACCCTTTCAATCTTGAATGATTTTATGCTGGGCCCGAGAGGAGAATTATCTCCAAGAAAGAAGGAAGAAGAGGCATAGGCCTCCCAAATCCCATTGGTTCTGTAGCTGTGCATTGTGCAATATTACTATGGCAACGGGATAAAGGAATAGCCCTCAATACTGAGAGGATTCATTCAAATCCTTTATGAACTTAGCAGAGAGAGGCAGAGAGACAGAACAGCCGAGAAACCCCATATCTTGGCTCTGATTTCCCACACTGAACACAAGCCATCAAGGGATTGCAAACAAAACTCGCCTTTGATTTCTCTGTGTACACATGCGCAGCTCGGACACTTGCCCCGTGAGCTGGGTGACTAAAACAGTGCTGTGCTGTGCTTAAGAGATGCCGTTCCTTATCCAGGATCTCAACGAAGAACCAGGCAAATATTATTGGCGTTTGACTTGATGCCGTGGAGGCAAGATGACCAAGCCTCTGTACCTGTGTCGATTAATCAGGAGAGCAATTTTGCAGACTAATAGAATAACAAAGTTGGAAGGGACCTTGGAGGTCGTCTAGTCCAACCCCCTGCTCAAGCAGGAGACGCTATACCATTCTAGACAAATGGTTGTCCAATTTATTCTTAAAAACCTCCAGTGTTGGAGCACCCACAACCTCTGAAGGCAAGCCCTTCCACCGGTTAATTGTTCTCACTTTCGGGAAATTTCTCCCTAGTTCTAAGTTAATTCTCTCCTTGACTAGTTTCTGCCCATTGGTTCTTGTTTGGATCCTGAACATGTATCCATATCTTCACATCTTCTTCTGCCTCTCCAAAGCCACACTCCTAATCTTTGAACTCTGTGGAGAACACAAAACTACCTAAAAGAAATGACCCATCCATCTTTTGTGCTCCTGGGGTAAACCTCCCTTTCTCTCCTAAGCTGGTGTGCTTTATGTGATGTTTCAGTGCAACATGGATGCCATGCATTAGAGAATAATGGAAATGAATAATAGAAGCTCCTAGCCTGAAGTGAGTTCACCTTGAAGTGAGTTCTCAAGTCTACCCAAAAAGCTTTTCCTGTTGGATTGTGCACTTAAATACATGAAGGCAGCACTTTTAAATACGATTGACCATGGATCAAAGCAACTCTCAGTAGAATATTCTGTAAGTTTGCTTTCTGGGTGCAACTGAAGGTGCTGGTGACCATCTCTAAGAAGACCTTCGTGGCACAGGACTGGCTATCTGAGGGACCACTTCGTTTGGCCCATGCTTTACAATCAGGTAGAAGGGGCATTGGAGGCCATTTCAAGCTGATGTTTTAGCAGAATCTGCAGGATAATAGATTCTTCACCCTTATACTAACACAGGAAACTCTCTGAAGTCTCATCACATACAGTTTCAGGCCCTCTGCTATGCTTTGCAGTCTGTGCTTCAGATCTTCAGTTCTGAAATACCTCCATCTTCTGCACCAAGTAAGTTAGACAGCATCAAAGATGCCTTCGCTCAAGGCCCAAGCTTGTGAAGTGACTATTGCTCCCCAATCAGCCCTGCCCAACGATAGGCCAATGTGTGTTGATGGAAGAAGCGAACCTCAACTCTTGTTTATATATTGTTTATTTTGTTCCAGTTCAGAGGGACTGTTCAGGAACACTGCCAAATACTTCAAAGCCCAAAGGGCCCACTATTCTGACTCATAACAAATCTTCAGAAAGGCAAGAAAACAATTTTTTTTTCCAGAACGCTTGAAGAAAATAGAAAGTCAGGGAGAGAAAATGACTGCTGATGTAGAACAGAACATCCTCAAAGGCTAAAAAGCTAAACTATTTTGGGACAGCTGGAAGTTCATGCCAAGGTGTTTGGATTTTCCTTCCCTGAATGTAATGGTTTTAGAAAATCCATTTCACGTGAGAACTATCCCAACATATATGTTCTGCCCATTCCTTAATTTCCCAAACCCACGTTCCAAACCCTAACATGAAATTCCTATCCCAACCTTGCAGATTAGCTACTAAGCATCCCTTATTCCTACCTTCTTAAGGATCACGTGGGACATGGAAGCATTGGCGTGTACAATGATGGTGCCTGTTTTGTCATCCCTGATCTCTTTTAGCAATGGTGTAGGGTCCCAGTTTTCATCCAGCATCCGAACTGAGAGAGTCTCTTTAGAAATAAGAAACTGTCGGAGCAATTTCTCAAGGTTTAGAAGGCCTGCAAGGAAGAGGAACACAAATTCAATACTGAGTTTCATCCATCAGCAGCCTTTCCACAAATGATTAGGTTAGGTCAAATCAGTTAAAATGAAATCTGGAAAATGTGGTGTGGGGTATGTTTATGTAAGCTTACCCTACCTTTCTCTTAGTTAAATGAAAATAATCAGAAAGGCCATTCACCTTAGTGGGTCATTTCTTGGTCGAAAGATGTTCCCCCTACTCTTCACTTGTTAGTTCAATGTGAAGAAATTTAACAAGTACTACAACACTATGGCAGAGGCCTGATTGACTTATTATGAACCATCAAATCAGTGTTAGCAAGCACATCGATTGACTTTCTCCATGAAGATCTGTTCTTAACCTGGTCCTTCAGGTCTTGTAGCTCTGCACACTTCACCGCTCTAATTGAGTCCACCTCCATTGCTGTCGCCCTCTTTTTCCCTTTCCTTCCATCTTTCTCAGCATGAGAGCCTTCTCCAGAGAGCTAATGTGTCCAAAATAGGATAATTCGAAGCTGGTTATTTATGCCTTGGGGGCAACTTTGGGTTGATTGGTTCTGTTGAGTCCTTGAGTCAACGGCGAAAGAAGAGCACACATTCTGTTAATTCCAACAGCCTTTATTCTCAGCAGCTCTCTCCGACACAACTCAGAGGCTCGCAGGGCTCTCTGTCTCCTTTAATAGAATCCCCGGGCAAAAAGGTAACAATCTGGTGCGCTTCTGCGTCTCGCGCATGCGCGCAAGGCCAGCGCCACTCAGTCTGGTCCCGGGCAGCTTGCAACAGCCCGGGACCATTGCAACGTCCTGAGCTTGCCTTTGCAGGCTCAGGACACAACAGGTTCACTTATCAACTTATTTGTTTGTGTGTTTTCTTAAATGTCCCTGGTGTTCCCAAGAATCTTCTCCAGCTACCAGTTCAAGATCATCACTATTTTTGATATCCACAGAGAACTATCTTTGGGGCTGCAGGATTTTGTAAGAACCACACACCAACCTGGGTCTTTTTTGAGTTACTCCTTCAAGCAGATCTTGATATCTATAGGCTATATTGTACAGACACAACTACCTTTTTTCTCTGCAACATTATAAAAATGCTACTATTGTACTTTGCTCCAGGACATTGATTTCATTGCTTCTTAGCCTTGCCTGCAGACTCAGAGTTCCCTTGTGGGCTGCCCATCCAGTTATTAACCAACTCTAGCCCTACTTAGCTTTTTTATTATCAACCAGTTTAGCTAGGGTCTGGCTCAAAAATCTTAAATTTGCCTATCTAGTTAGCTAGCCAAACATAGCAGATTTTATTTATATATTCAAGAATTAATCCCACAAAATAACCTTTCCCAACCTGTATCTGGACTCTCCAGATGTATGGGGACCTCTGGGAACTGCTGCCCCTTGGAAAATCGATCAGAGAGAGATTACAATGGATCACATTGTTAGGTTGCTGTTGTGCCCATTGTTTCCTCTTTTTGACTGTTTATCTCAGTACAAACCAAGAAAGATAACCTCGGAATTCTTGTTTCTCTGGTATTTTATTGGTCTTTTTTCTGAAATTGCCCCCAAGTTACTAAGTACATTCTCCGTGCCAGTGTTGAGACAATTGCAACAAACCGAACTTTTGACTGTTGTACAATCCAACTTGAGCAATCATCCTAAGAGTGTTTCTTAAACTGGGGGTGTAGAATTACTGCCAAGGAGGCAATTTGGATGTGTCCTGGGGGTAACAATGTGTAATTGCTTCTCTGTGAATTGAAGATCAAGTTTTGGACTGCCACTGCTGAGTTGCTTATGTAAAACAATAGAATCTGTACTTTTGGAAAAAGGGATTGTGTGTGAATGGGATAATGACAATATTGATATTGGAAAGAGGGTCAAACAATTTAAGAATCAGTGGCCCAGGAGATACAGATTACCTCAGGCTTCTATTGCCTAAAGCAGGGATGTTCAACCTTGGCAACCTGAAGGCCCATGGACTTCAACTCCCAGAATTCATGGCTGGCTGGGGAATTCTGGGGAAGTCCAATGGTCTTCCAGGTGCCAAAGTTGGACCATGTTGTGAACTTCTGAACCATGTTGTGTGCATCCTAACTATTCTTTCTGTTTTTGATGATCTTAGTTTCTAATTAAAGAAATCTGGTATCTGGTATAAGAGAAGGATGTTTTATATTGCATGAGAGATTGTTTTCCAATAAAATTGATATCTGTGTTCTGTCATAGTATAAAATCCATGCAGAATTAGGCCTAAAGTCTTTACATCCCTAAAAACCAAAGAGAAAAATCTCTTTGAAAGATAGGCAGATTTTCTTCGAATTGATTGCTCTGAAAACTATGTGTTTTTTTGATGACCTGCCTTGTGTTTAACTGATTAGATCTGAAATTACAACAATTTGCTACAGGTGACATTCCAGGAATATTTAAGGAAGGTAATAGTTTCTCTCCAATGAATAACTTATGGAGCATTGTTTAAAAAACATGATCTTCTATTTCTTCCTCTCCCTCTCTCCACTTTTCATGTAGTTCAACTGTAATTGGAATTGATGATAACTGATTAAAGCCTACAGGTTTTATTCCATAATAAATGAGTCTATAATCAATCATATTAATCAATAGAGATAAAGCTTTCAGCCATGAAATAAAATTTTGCAGCTTTGGGGAAAACCTTTTAAATTTATGTTGTTGTTATTTGTAAAATCTCTAGAAGGGGAAAATAATAATTCTCCAGTCCAAAAATGGGATTTCTTTAATTAGAAACCAAGCACTAGATCAGACATGTCAAACTCGTGACATCACGTAACGCCGCACGACGTATTGGAACTTTCCCTCCATTGCCAGCAATGGGGTGGGCGCAGTTTCCTCGTGATGCATCCGGCCCACAGGCCGGCAGTTTGACACTCCTGCATTAGATCATCAAAAACTGAAAGAATAGTAAGTATCCACACAACATGGTTCACAAACCACAGTGGTAAAATTCAGAACAACTGCACAACATGGGAACCAGGTTATTCACTAAAAGCTGGACTTCATAAGCACAGAAAGATCTAGAAGACAAGTTGCGGGCCTCAAAATTCCAAAGAATATCTGATCCCCAGCTATTCATTTTATTTTGATTATATATGTTTTGGGCTCATCCATCGTTCACTCAATCCCCATGGCCATATCCTGTTGACCCAAAGAAATATGGACAGCTTTATCTTCAAAATACCAAGCAAATTGGTCAGGCTGGGACCTCTGACCTTCCAGTAAACTAGAGTTGATTACTGGTTGGCCCATCAACCATATCTGAGAGAACCTCTTCCTCCAAGAGATATTAAGAAACCACTTGGAATGTTATATCTTCAGGATTGGACCGTTTACATTTTCATCCCTTCATGTGCTTAAGAAAGTATATCCTCCAGACACTGACCTATCCATGACAGTTCCCTCACCCATAAACTATCTTTCTGAAGTTTATTATGTCTTGCTACTTTTATTGCATTCAACCTATTCCCCTTTACTTTGCCTTGTCTGATTGGATTGCCCTTTCCAACCTGATCCCTTCTGAACATTCATAATTAGAAGTATCGGCTTGAAATCCTCATGTGGGCAGCTTCTTCCAGATAGTCCTGCTGCTAAAAAGCTACAATCCTTCCCCAGCATGGATAACTTGTCCCTAGCCAGACGGCTGCTGCTAAAAATTCTAGAGTTGAAATCTATACAGTCAGAGCATTTTAAGATCAAGAAAGGCCGCTTTTCTTGGACTGTGAGAATCTTCTAATACATAACAAAATTTGGGAGTGGTGATCTGGGCATCGAAACAGCAATGCTACCTTAAGACAAAACAATTAACAGATTTTAACTGCAATAAGCACATGCTGTTCCTCCTTCTGAGTCTGGATTCCATTTATGTTCCCTTTCCCTTGTTTCTTTCATACCATATGTCTCCAGATGAAGCCAGGATCTGTGTAATATATTATATAAAGTCACGGAGATGCATCCAGCTTTTCAAGTCATTCGGCTGCCTGATGGAAAGGACAAGATGGCCCCTTCCAGTTACTAGACTGTTATGTAGAGCCAGTGACCCACGGTCTCTGACCTACCCTTTTATCATCCAATGTAGGATCTGTCTAGTTCAGTGGTTCTCAACCTTTTTAATGCCATGACCCCCAACCAGTCGTAAGTCGAGGACTACTCAACCAGTTGTAAGTCGAGGACTACTCAACTGGTGCAGCACCGTTTGCAGAATGGGACTTTTGGCGGGCTCAGCAGGGCAGAGACAGCCTGGACAATTCCTATTGGCTTTCGAAAGCCAATAGAATTAGACTCTATTCAAGAGAGTCTATTGGCTTTCAAAAGCCAGTAGAATAAAAGGGAGTAGCACAGCTAAGGAAAAGGGGAAAAAATGGCGGACTGCATTGTTTGGTGACCCCCGTGAAATGGTCGTTCGACCCCAAATGGGGTCCCGACCCACAGGTTGAGAACCACTGCTCTAGTTATACATCAACGTTAGCTTAAATATCATTCTGTTACGTGATCTGGCACACCCATTCTTTGGCCAAATACCCCCTTCAAAAAGATTGAAATCAAGACGGAGCTTTTGAGATTGCGCTGAGGAGATTGTCACTACACCCTCGAGCAGAATGATTAAAAAGATGGAAACTTCCAAGTTAAACATCTTCATAATTAAATGAAACCCACTGAAGGAGTGGCCGGGAGGTTTGGGGGAGGAGTGGATTGTTGGAGATGTTTAAACAGACTGTGCACTGATTTGGCTAGAATTAAAGACCAGATGGAAAAATGGGGGTCTCTCCCAGAGGACAAGGATATGTACTGCAAATGAGGCACTATTCAAAGAACTCTCCATCTTTTACAGTGCCTCCAGGACTGACATGCACACAGAATAACAGAGTTGGAAGGTACATTGGAGGTCATCTAGTCCAGCCCCCTGCTCAAGCAGGAGACCCTATACCATTCCAGACAAGTGGCCGCCGTGTTTTTTCTTAAAAGCCTCCAGTGATGGAGCA